TATCAAGAATGAAGCTACAAGTCGGGGTGACAATTTGAACAGAGGCATCACCCTTCCCTTTTCTTGCTGACGTGCCCTCTCTTCCACATAGAATGGATCATCAAAAGATAGAGGCACATGACCAATCCTAGTATGCAAAGTATATCAGCTCTTACATCATCTTGATTACTGAAAGGAAGCGGTAAGGACTTACATGTTATCAATTTGAAATGCAATTCAAAGGCATACAGGAGTGATTGACAAAGCATCCAACCGATTGTCGTCCGTCATCTTATAGTGATCCACAAAATTACTAAGAAAGTTTTTACCATTGGTACGCTTGGTTTCCATTAGCATAATGCCTACACCCGGTCTACCATCTCGCCCACATTGACCAACCATCTGGCCGAGGACTGAAGGATCAGTTTGTCCCAAGGTGATCACGCGGCGGGTTTGGGGCCAATTAGTTCCCATTCCCAACGCCATGGTACAAGCCATCATCGCCACTTCTCCCTGGCCATATGCTTCAATATGTTCCTTCTTATCTTTTGGGCCAGTCACCGCATGAAATCGACGGATACATGAACTTTTACCGTTAAAACGCTTGTGCAACAGGCCTCGTGCCGTAAGAACCCCTTGATGTACAGCAAGGTTTTCATTTTGAGTATTCGAATAAATTAGAGTTTGTGGTATCATCGAGTCGGATATGATTGATGACAGTGCAAAAGAACGTCGAATGTCATTGCCAGACTTAGAAGTGTATTCAAGTGGTATTTGCATGAGTCGAATCTCCTCGCGAACCAACTCGCCCTCAAGGATGACTAGGTCTTCATTGGTCCATTTCAAGTTCCTCTTGATTGCCTCAATTGCCACAGGCCTACAAGTGGCTGATAAAAGTAGAACTGGCACACCAGCTGACAATAATCGCTGGCCTAGGTTCCCATATGACGGCCTAAAAACACCTCGATCCTGGGTCTGTAGGTGAGCAGTGGAGTGACGAGCTTCTCGAGATTCTACAAGGCCCCAAGAGTATATTTGGTGTGCCTTGTCAATCACAGTTAAGATCAGACGTCGTTGAAATTCCGCTGAGAAAAAGACAGTACGAAAATGCCCGTTGTTGAGATAGACTTCAGGGCTCTACAAAAGGCAAAAGATACATCAGTTTCTGGTTTCCACGTGGTCACATTTCATGCTTACCATGTAGACATACTGATATACTCCCAGCTTTATATCTTCAAGGTTTTTTCTAGTTGCATTTTCCGCGCTGCAGTTAATGGCGGAAAGGCCTCGCTGAATCTTGTTGGCAACCTAGATACACACAAATTTGTAACATGGATTTCCTCAATTAAAAAATGTTGACATGTGAACAGTTGCTGCCTATCATACCTGGTCATTTACAAGTGAATCCAGGGGCACAATCGTCAATACAATCGACCTGGGCTTGTCGCTATGCAACGCCGCATAGACCTCAGGTATGCGTGACTTCCCATAACCGGTGCCAGCTCGCAAGAAGGTGTGTTTTTTATTGATGAGCAACACCACTGTGTCAATCTGGAGCGGTCAACCTGGTTGCTGAAACATTGTCATGAATTTTTCCGAAACCACCTCTGTCTGATAGGCTCAAGTATTTGTACGCAAAGATTGAGGGATTTCTGGCTTGATTGTATTCCTTGCACGTTGCCGAGACGAGAGAGAATGCGCAGTTGCATTCGCAACGAATGTTCTTGAAAGCAAACGTGTAAGCATAAGAAAGGTATGTATTGAGCGTCAAGAAGGCTATACGAAAATGTGGCGTGAACTTGAAAGATTGTAAGTACCAGTAGTACCACAAGCAGAGTGAAGTGAGAACAAATAGCCCGAGCGTGTCGGGTCATGAAAATCACGTGCTGAGGGGTATGGCTTTATACAAAAAGCACCTTTAGATTTTACTTTGTGTAGCTCAGCAAAAGACGAGGGGAATTTGATGATTCCACTTGTACAACATGGAGAAAGACTGGGAGTCGGTACGCGTATTGACATACGGGAATGGGGTCGAAAAGGCGTCCGGGTAGTGAAAACACGCGGGGTGGAACCATAACGTCCCATCCTCTCCGGCGGAGATACTTCCATCTCACGTGCCGGCAGAGGATGGACGTTAGGATGCAATGAGCGTTAAAAAATTATTTCCCTATAATTCCTGTCCTCTGTCGAGAAGCTCATTTGTCCCACTTAGAAATTTCTTTACAAAAATTATCAGTCCGCGCAATTCTCTTTTCACTATAGCCTTTTTTCTCTTATTCAGTCTTATATAAAAACAAAAAATATCCAACCTTTTTTGTTGATCGCTCTATTATTTAAGGATCTCTTCTAATCGTTCTTAAAATTATAAGACTCTCGTCACAAACCAAAAAAGACCTAGAACAAAGTCGCGGCCAAATAAATTCATCGTTTCCCGTATAAATTATGATCGCAGAGGCAAACTTGGCCCAAGATCGTTTTAAAGCTATAGATGCAATCTTGGAAAACTATGATGTCTGGGGAGGCAGCTCATCCATCTCAATGGCTCAGCTCCGAGACCAAGTGGCACAAGTTTACAGCCCCTCAGCTCCAGACTTCATATTCCACTGGTCAGCGTTCGCAAGGGTGGCCATTGCGCTCGACCACGCCCAACGCCGCATCGAATACGGCACAGTGGACGAACTGCCGGAAAATGCCGATCCACTGGCCAATCCTCCTTACGTTCTTAGCAGGAAGGTCAGGCCGACAAATGACGCCAGCTATTACCGGCCGCCTCGAGGCTTCATTGGGAAGCGCCTCCCAGCTGGGTTCAAGACAGCTGATCTTAACCAAAACCTGGAAGACCTGTCAATGTTCCCAGCTGGAAAAGCCCATCACCAGTCTCAACCAATTCCGCCGTCCCCTCCGCCACCTCCGTTTCAGCCAAAGTTGCCCTCTATTGGACCCCCCTCTTCGACGGGAAAAAGGAAAAATCGACGAAGACACCGTCGTCAAACCTCATCCGTCAAACATGGAGAAGAGGCTCGAGGAGGCGAAATCCCTCTCGCTCTACGAGTCTCAGCAACTCGTGAACCTGAAGCTAGCGGGTCAAACATCAAATTGTCAACCGCTCAGCCAAGCAGCAACCTGGCTGATCGAATTGCCCCGATTCCGGCGACCAACGTCGCCGAAAAACAACCGACCCGACCCATTTTCAAAGAGCAGAAAAGGAAAAGACATGAGTCTCCTCCCTCCACGTCTTCTTTGTCCAATTCTTCGTCGGATGGAGACTTCAATCCTCTGCCAGCACCAGCTGACTCTGAGGCACCAGCCTTCTCTGGGTCCGAGGGGGAAGACGATGATGAGATACCATTTCTGGCTCACAACGAACATCTCTCCCCTGAGGCTTTTACCCCCCTTTCTTCAAAAATTCAAAAAATCGCTATCAGATACAAATCAAATATTAAAAAGTACATCTCTCTGTTCAATTCCTGCGGTAACCGGCCGGCCAATTGGCACAACAACCTCACCAAAGACCTACTGGAATATAATTTCGTTGACCTACGAAAATTATACGGAGAGGTCTCGTCCAACGGGCCGTCGGAATCATTTCTCAAAGTCAATGACGTCGGGAAGCTCAAAAGCATCAATGGTGCTCCTCCCAAAGAGATCACGAACAGTGACCACTGGAAGGATCTCATGGCCGTGGCACGCCATGCTTACATCGCGGCATTCCCCCCCGCTGCAGTATCTATCAAAAAGTACTTTGACTACATCTTCGGTCTCCCTGGCCTTTTTCAAGCAAAGGTCAATTGGGAAGACGTCCGTGACTTCGACGTCGAAATGCGCAAGGAGTTCTCCTCTCGGCCATGGCTGGTATGGGGTGACTATACCCATGAAAGCCTCAGGGGCATCGACAATCGGGTGCTCTACAGCGCAGCCAGCAGACTTTCACAAACCGCCCGAGCAGCTATACCAACACCTCTACCACCACGGGCCGAAACTCAATCAACTCCTTATACGACCAAAGCACCTCGCCCAGCTCAACCAAAAAAGCCCAGAGGTCGCCGCAACAAACCCAACTACACCGTCAAACCAGCCAAGGGCGTATCTATTGCTGATCAAATTTGTAATAATTGGAATCTCGGTGTTTGTCCCCACGCAGACGATGAGTGCGACAGAATACACAATCTGTGCAACAAAGTTGGATGCGATGGCACTCATCAAGGAGGCGTTGCTCACAAATGAGCCTAACAGTTGTCGATTTCTTCGAGGACTAGAAATCGACGCGTTATCTGAGGGCTACTCAGCCTCAGTCGAATCCTCTCTCCACGCGGAGCCTCTTCCCGCAGCTCCTCCCATAGAATCCGATCCGTTAGCCGCTTACGCTATCAAACAAAGACCCGACATTTTCAAAATCACCTGTCCAATAAACATCAAAAATTTCTCCCTTCTACTCAAAAATCACCCCAACAGACCTTTCGTCGACTCAATTGTGCTCGGGTTGTCGGAGGGTTTCTGGCCTCTCTCAGCCAAACCGTCAGATGACATTACCTATCACAAAAACCATGTGTCTGGGCCTGAAGCGGAAAAAACCCTGCAACAGGCCAGGGACAAAGAGCTCAAAGCAGGAAGATATTCCCCCCCATTCTACACTCTCTTGCCGGGCATGAAGGTTTCGCCTCTCTGCCTGGCAACCAACCCAAACTCGGGCAAAGTACGGACATGTACAAATATGTCATTTGGCCGACCATCTCCCAACGACCTGATTAACAAAGAGAAAATCAAAATAGACCTAGACTCTATCGCTTCCTTCATTCCCCATTTACTCATTCACCACCGTTCAAATCATCGAGTGCTAATATGGAAGTCTGATGTGGACGGCGCTTTCAGAGTCCTGCCGGCATCTCTACAATGGCAACTACGACAAATCGTCAAAATAGGTAAGGCTTTCCACGCAGATAGAAATGTGAACTTTGGATGCTCAAGTTCTCCAAAACTTTGGTGCTCGTTCTTTTCTCTGGTCTTGTGGATTGCTTACTACGAATTCGGCATTACGGAACTGAACTCGTACATGGACAACTCGTGGGGCTCAGACCTGACTTCCTCCCTCGTCAACTTCAAAGGTAGGAGTATTCCTCGAAATCAAGCAAAATTCCTCACCATCTTCGACTATATCGGTCTACCGTGGGCTTGGGAGAAACAGCTCCACGGTACGGTGCTAGAAGTAATCGGCCACACCATCGATTGCGACAAGCTTTCAATCACACTGTCTGAAAAGAAACGGTCAGAACTTATCTCCGCCCTACGACTATTCACCTCAAAGATCTCCCATCCCCTGGTGGAATGGCAGCGCCTAACAGGCTGGGCCAACTGGGCGCTGAACATCTTCCCTCTGGGAAGATGGTCGATTCAGTCCTCTTGGGACAAGATGTCGGGTAAATCAATTCGCAGCGCTCACATCCCACTTAACCGAACCAACAAAGATGATCTCAACTGGCTGGCCAATGCACTGGAAGCCTGGGAAGGAAGGTTGGTCTTAGAAAACCTCCACTGGCCGCTCAAAGCGGCAGACTGCGTCTTTTTCTGTGATGCATGTCCAGTCGGCCTTGGCATATGGCGCCCGGCCACAGCCATGGGATGGTGTTACTCCCTGCCGCCCCCAGCCCGTAACATTTACTGGGCCGAGCTTCTGGCGGTTACCTTGGCAATAAAGCTGGCATCCAGCATTAAGGCAAGGAAAGTGCTTATCTTCACGGACAATGAGTCGGTATCACACCTATTCAGCTCCCACAAGCCAATACCGTTGATCAGAACTGTCTTTAAGTTCGCGGTAAACCTAATGTTGGACAAAAAAATGGACGTGAAAGTGCGTCACATATCGAACAAGGATAACAAGGTAGCCGACTCGATCTCTAGGTTCTTGGCTGACAGAACAAAGGCCCTAGCTCCTAACGTTACGGTAATCAACATTGAACCGGAACCGGAGTTGCTTGTTGGAGGTTGCACAAGCCGGTCGTTCCTCTCAACGGCTTGATTCCCCCAAAAAACCATTTCTCTCTTTCTCTCTTAATACACTTCACAAAACAAATAAAAATAAAAAATAAAAAAAATCTATTTTTTCTTCGTTTCTGTTTCTACACTGTCTAGTTCACCGTCTCACTTCGCTCGAAAGTTGTAACACACCACATAAAAAACCTCACGGTCAGCTCCTCCTCAAAACCTGCTTGACCGATCCGAACTATTTATCCTAAAAACCATCCGACTCAACGCCGGAAAATGAAAAAAGCAAAACGTCCGCCTAAAAAGCTCAGTTTTCAGGAACTCGAAGCTATGAACAAGGACGATATAGACCATCATCTCGAACCAAACTCGAAAGCAAAGTGATTCGCCAAGTTTTGTGAAAACCAAGGCAAGGACTTCTACCCAAGCGAAACCAACCTTTGCCACTTCATTTCGGTGGTATCGCGAGAACTCTTGCCATCAACGGTAAGCAAGTATCTCACAGGAATCGCATTTATCTTTCGCGAACGCTACCCTTGGGTGGACCAAGTCAGGAACTCGCAACAAGTCAGGAAAACGCTCCGCGGCTGCAAGAAGCTCTTTACCCTCCCGGTCACTCAGGCAAACCCTTTCACAATGAGCGATGTACGCACTTGCGCTGAAGAATACAATTCCTCCTTCGACGACGCCCTTTTCAATGCAATTGTAGCATTAGGGTTCTCCGCACTCCACCGTCTAGGTGAACTCGTCGTCCCAGATTCTTTAAAACTCCAAAACCCTCGCAAATGCATACGCAGATCTTCCCTCGTGTTCTCGGTGTGTGGTACCGTCGCCTGCTACAACCTCCCATACCACAAAGCCGACCCCGACTTCAACGGCACGCCAGTATCCATCGTTCTACGAGAATACAAGGACACGTGCCCAGTCAATACCTTACTATTCTACGCGGTGTGGCGCGATCGTTGCTTCCCATGCGAACCAATGCTCTTTATGCGCGAAAACGGTTGCCAGCCCACCAGAACATGGTTCATCCAACGTCTTCAAGCAATTTTTAACAAAACACGCTCAGGTCACTCGCTGCGCGCAGGCGGCGCCACGTGTTACGCACAAAGCGGCATGGAACACGAAACCATCCGCCAAATCGGCAGATGGTCATCAAACGCCTGGGAAACTTACATCAGAAGTCACCCGCTGTTGAACCTAAGAAAGACCCAGTGCTTCGCACAGACCTCGGGACTGTCTATAGGAGAGCAGGTGGAATTCCCAAGAGCAGCTCTTGTAAGCCTCTAATCAAACTCCTTGCCCCTGTACCCCAAGCCTCATGCAACCGTCAGATGACTGACCGTTCGCAATCATATTGCCTTCTCTCCCACAGCCGTGGACCAGAACCAGGCCAATAGCCCCCCTTGACGAACCCAGTCGGGGTCAGCGTAGAGTAAGTCGTCACGACCTTATCTCTGTAAAATCTCGCTAATCAAAGACCTCATGTTGCAGAGTCTTCGTCATAGGAACCAGCCACCGGCGGATTCCTAGGAAAATGTCGACTACGTCGCTTTTCAAAAACACCTGTTAGTCACTCATGACATGTCTAACGAGGTGCAAAACATGTGACGCTAACAAAATATCTCGGGCATACTCCTGAATTTTTTACAACGCGCACAACTACGACGCTACAGAGTTCAACACCATTCGTCCAAGAGGACTCTCACATCTCCACTCTACAATTACCATCACCACTCTTCCACTACGAGGGCGGTTGAACTCTCATGTGTCGTCAGTTTATGTCAGGTTTCGAAAAACCAGTTTTTTCTATTTCTTTTCTTTCTTAGTCTTTACCAGCGTCCCGTCATCTCATGCACGCTAATAAGACTCATTTGCCTCACGGCAGTCAAGCGTAAACCAGCGGTTGATCTGCCAGAGCCCAGACCCATTCCTGGGAGTCGGTACGTGTATTGACATACGGGAATGGGGTCGAAAAGGCGTCCGGGTAGTGAAAACACGCGGGGTGGAACCATAACGTCCCATCCTCTCCGGCGGAGATACTTCCATCTCACGTGCCGGCAATAGATGGGTAAACAATTCCAGTCTGGCTAACTGGCAAAAGGATCCTATATCTAGAACAGAATCCAGAACACGGTTGTCCTTGTATAATATTTTTTTGATTTTATTGTTTTTTCTTTACTTGCTAGGACGTGTGTATGTGCCTTGTCATGGGGAGGGTGTTGTAGTCACATAGATGTACACGACTGCGGCACATCCAGTCACGTGACAGAACCTTTATATACTTGTACTTTCTCTTCCGGAGTTCCACATCATTGTGGATCCCGTGTTTACTGTTTCACTTACTGTTCCTGCTGCTCACTATAGGTACTGAAATACCCATCATTGTGGATCCCGTGTTTACTGTTTCACTTACTGTTCCTGCTGCTCACTACAGTCGACTCCCTCGAAATCCATACCCCTCTTACCCCATACTCCCAGTTAATCCATGGAAATTTCAGTCCATAAAATTGGTAGATTGCCCTAAAATAACTCCCTTGAAAGCCATAAACCCACAAAAGCCATAGCAATTGGGGTCCATAAAATGGTATGGATTTCGAGGGAGTCAACTGTATACACGGCTGGGATGCTTTTTGACACATAATTCAAAATTTGACATGATTGAGAATTGCAATAATACAATTTTGACAACGGAAAAGTAATACTCTGCTTCTATTCTGTCCATACAAAACACTTGAATACAGTAGTTGATCAAGAGACACTACTTACATACCTAATTACCTACCAGACAAAAGATGGCAACGTTGATGGGAGATCACGTGCACAGGAAAGCGGAACGATCACACCGGGCGGCGGGAGGAATATCCTATCACTCGAGTCTG